GCACGAGACCCCGCAAGGGTGGGGACCGCCAGAACCGCCTGGTTGCGCGTCCGGCTTCCCTCGCACGTGGCTCAGGGCAAGGGGGAGCGACCACCTCGAGCCTCAGTTTACGCCACCGTGAAATGGAGACTGTACCGCACCTGCCTTGGGGGCCGAGGACTGGGGAGGCGCGTCCTTCCCCCGACGGCCAGGAGGGGGCGCTGCTGCAAGCCTCCCCAGCTTAGCGCCCGGTGTGCGCGGGGGAGGGGGGGCTGGGGGCGGGGCGCTCTGATAACCCCGCCGAACACCTCTGAGCCGGGCACTGCCGGAGCACACACCCATTTTACCTGCACGCCGCTCGAGATCACACAGCGAACGGCAATTCCACCCTAGGCAGCGCAGTCCCCGCCCCGCACCCCCCTGGAAAGAGCTCTCGTTTTTGTGGTTCAGCTCCGAGCTCAGATCAGCCCCCGGCACACGGCAGACCCTCACTTCATGGTTGTTGAGAGACTAAGCAAGCATACTCTGCGACTGTGTGTACTTTCTTACATTTTATCCGGCCATCACTCATAACCTCATTTCATAGAGAGGAAAACTGAGAATGGCTAGGTACTCGCGAGCTGCTGATGACCTCTTTATAGAGATGCCAGGGTCAGAGTCTGCCTGGGGCTCTGAACTCAACGGTGAGCTGGCTGGCCTTGGGTGTTTCAGAGTACTGCGTCTGCCTCAGAGGCTCAGGACTGGATCCAAAGGGCCCCCATTGGGTGAAGTGCTCCCAGCACCCAGGGTGGTTTATGGGCGCAGTATTTGGGCACTCCAGCAGTGGTGAGAATTCCATGATTGTTTGGTTCCAAGGAGGGTAGAGAGGAGCCACACCGAGTCACCTCAATGTCCTGACTCACTACAGACCCCCCTTGCTTACATCATCCCCTCCACCTGATAGGCTCTTCCAGAATCATCATCTATCCTTGCCAGGCTTGTGCAGTGGAGTTACAGGCCAGTACTGTCTGGGGTAAGGCTGGCTTGACAGGGACCGCTTTGTGGAAGAGCTGGGACCTTCCAGAGGTGTGTGTGTGTGTGTGTCCACACACATGTGCACGGGAGGGCTTTTCTATCCCTCTTCTAATTCTCCTGGTCTAGCCTGGATGGCGGTCCGGACCATCTGAATTGCACCCTTGGGAGGCTGGGTGTTGGTGGCTCACACCTATAACTTTAGCTACTTAGGAGGCTGAGATCTGTGGATCAGGATTCAAAGCCAGCTTGGGCAGGGAAACCAAGAGACTCAGATCCAATTAACCAGCAAGATGACAGAAGTAGAGATGTGGCTTAAGTGGTAGAGTGCCAGCCTTAAGCAAAAAAGCTAAGCAAGAATGAGAGGCCCTGAGTTCAAGACCCAGTACCAGCAACACACACACACACACACACACACACACACACACACACAGAGGAAAACTGAGTCCTGAGTGGATCCATGAGCTACCCAGGATCTGGATTGGGTATCAGGCAGCATATCTGACTCCAAGGCTGAGCCATCTGTCAGCACCTGCTAGAGGGCCTTAGTATTGACTGGGATAGACCGGTGAGTATGCCCTCCCCTCCTTCCCAGGGCATCAGCACAGCTATCTTTGTTTACTCTGCCACACATGGGTCAACAGCTTGTTCAGGGTGTGTGTGTGTGTATGTGTGTGTGTAGCTTTGTCTGTACATGATTCAGTCTCCACTTGCCCACCTGCTCTGGAGCTTTTCAATGCTGTGGCTCTGTGCCCACAGGGGAGAGGGCTGAGAGAAGACAATGCCAGAGTGAAGGTCTGTTGGACACTCTGTGGAAGGGGGTATACGGTATCCTAGAGTCCTCCAGTCCCTTTATTGAGAGGAGGTTCCCCTGGGCGACTTTCCTCCTCTGTGGACCTCAGTTTACCAGGTAGGGATGCTTCGAGCGGGAAGTCTGTCCCTGCCCTGGGGCGGGGGTGGGGGGGTGGGAGGGCTATGGCTGTGGGGATCAGATCCTCCAGTCTGGAAGGCAGCAGCCCCTGGGGAAGGGGCAACAGCTGTGGTGCAGGGCCAGGAATCTGATACCAGGGGTGGGCTCCAGTGGCCGTCCAGGAGGTGGGCAGGCCCCTTGGAGCAGCATTAGCAGCAGGCTCAGCATCCTCTGCATACCCCTCCTCCACCTCTGCTGTCCGTGGACAGACCTCTGATAAAAAGGGTATGGATACAATTCCAGTTTGACTGACAATTCCAATTCCTTTTTCTTTGCTTCTCCCCACCCTCCTTTTTTTGTGTGTGCTGGTCCTGAGATTTGAACTCAAAGCCTGAGGCACTATTCCTGAGCTTTTGTTCTCAAGGTTCTACCATTTGAACCATTTGGCTTTTTACTGATTAATTGGAGATAAAAATCTGATGGACATTCCTGCCCAAGCTGGCTTCAAACTATGATTCTCAGATCTCAGCCTTCTGAGTAGCTAGCATTATAGGTGTAAGCCACCAGCACCAGGCATGGTTTTTGTTGTTTTTTTTGGGTCCGGTCATGGGGCCTGAACTCTGGGCCTGGGTGCTGTCCCTCCGCTCTTCAGCTCAAAGCTAACGCTCTACCACTTGAGCCACAGTGCCACTTCCGGCTTTTTTCTTTATGTGGTGCTGAGGAATAGAACCCAGAGCCTCAGGCATGCAAGGCAAGCGCTCTGCCACTGAGCCACCTTCCCAGTCCCTGTTGTTTGTTTTTTGAGACAAGGTGTGTCCATGTGGCCCATGTGTGGTTCCAGTGGGCCTTGAAGACCCTTCCGTCCCAGCTTCCTGAGTGCTAGGATTCTGTTTTCCTTTGCTTGGAGCTAGCTTCATGCAGATATCTACAAGAGGCCACAGGCCAGCCCAGCCTGAAGAAGAATGGGAGAGGAAGGAACAGGAGGAGGACAGGAAGAGGATAGGGGAAAAGCAGAAGGATGGAGGAGCAAAAGAAAGAAACGGAGAAGCTGGGCTGCTGCTGATGGAGGGATCTGGATCTCAGGCTGAGGTCAGAGACCCCGGTCCTCGTGGCTGTCTCCTTTGGGGGGTGACTGCCTACTGCCAGGAAAACCCCACACTGGGCCGTGCACCAGCCTCACCTGCCTCCTCCCTCTTGCCTGCCCTGTGCGGTTGATTCCTTAGTCAGCACAGTGATCTTAGGCTTTCAGTGTCCAGCCAGTGGGGTACAGCCAGGACCCCCAGCCCAGCACCCTTCATCTAAACTGTCTTGTGGTGGAAGAACCTCAGCAGATGCATTAAAAAAAAAAAAGCAGGCAAGTCCTGGGGTAGCGTGTGTACAGGGACCGGACGGAGCTCTGGTCATAGGAGCTGTGTATATGTGGAGCAGTGCTGAGCCCGGCATGGGGAAAGCTGGGTGCCCTCTAGTTCACACCCTGGGTGGCAGGAGGGGCTATCTGAGTTTAGGTATGGCCCAGTCTGGGGCAGGAGTCTCCACGGGAGGTATGAGGAAGGAAGCAGCTCACTTAAGAGCCTGGAAGCTTCTAGAAGAGCCTCCCCAGAGGAGTGATACAGGATTGCTTTAAGAATGTCACCATAGCTGGATGTGGTGGCTCATGTCTGTCACCCTAGCTACTCAGGAGACTGAGACCTGAGGATTGCAGTCCAAAGCCAGCCTGGGCTGGGAAGACTCTTACCTCCAGCAGAAAGCCAGAAGTAAAGTTATGGGGTCAAGTGGTAGAGCACTAGCCTTGAGCAAAAGAAGCACAGGGATAGAGCTCAGGCCCTGACTTCAAGCCCCAGAACTAGCCTACACAAGAAAATGTCACCCAAATCCCTTGTGCTGCTTTGGCCTCGCCTTGGGGAATGGGGTGGGGCCCACTCAGCTGAGAAGGGCCAAGAAGAGTTCAGGACTGGTCCAGGGCAGGGCCATAAACCCCTGCGTCCTGCCCTTGCCTGCCAATCCAGGGGAGAGGGTACTACTGGTCACTCCAGTGAGCAGGAGAGCTGGCCCTGCGATCTGTGGGGGCCCCTGTGGGGACCTGAAGCAGTGGTTGTTGTCCAGCCCCATACCATGTTCCCCAAGCTGGCTCTGGGGATGAGTCCTGGTACACGGGAAGACCTGCAAGGCCCATCGGCACTGCAGAGTAGCTGCTACCTAGAGACACACATCCTGAAGAGCAGACACCACCCACATCGCCAGAGCCTAGGTCCAGAGCCGAAGGTCCCGGTGGTGGCTCAGCCTGGTCCCCCGGCCATCCGGGAACACTGGTGACAGAGCAGGTTGAATTCCAGGGCTGATTTTCAACAGTAATGGTGCTTTATGGAAGTTTCTGTGGATATACTGAGGAGACACCCCAGGGGACGCCATGCTCTCGCCTGCCACGGGCTAAAGTGCTCTGTGTGTGCATGTATGTGACACAGGTGACATTGCCAACCAGTGGCTTCCCAGAAATGTCCTGAGGGTCATGCAGCATGGAGCTCCAGGCCTGACCTCTGGGGGCCTGTTCATCCAGGTGAGAAGGGCTTTGGGAGGTGAGGGGTCAGGTCAGGCCTCGCCCTCCCCGTCCTCCTCGCTGGCATAGCTCTCGGGCAGCGTTCTGCCCCAGGACGCCCTCCTCTCCATGTACTCGGCCTTCAGCCGCTCCAGCTCCCGCAGCTCGGCCTCCAGCCGTTCCCGGTGGGCTGCCCGCAGCTGCTGCAGCTGCTTCATGGGGAAGGGGTTCATGTCGTTGAAGGCGATATTCATCAACTTCCTGGTAGGAAGATGCGGTCAGCAGGGTGCAGCCTGCAAGGACAGGGCCTCCCTGGGCACAGCTCTGTCCTCTGACCTTAGCAGCTCCCCTTCCAGGGAGAAGACAGGGACTAGGAAGGTATTTCCACCCTGAGGTATATACTGGAGCAGGAAGTGGACTAGCAGGGTCGTTAACTCAGTATGGAAAGGGGTCTTGCTTGGAAGCTTCCTGGAGAAGGTGACAAAGGGGTTGAGTTTTGATGAATAAAAGCTGACCAAGATGGGGTGGCCAAGAGGCATTCTAAGAGAACTGTGAGGGCTAAGAGCAAAGCCCAGGTCTGGGGTATCCTAGAGGAGTAGTCTCTAATGAGCACACAGCAGTCCCCGACTCCTGTTCCGGGGTGACTCCTGTCTGGGGGTGCATGGTAGGAGGCAGAGGGGTAGGCAGGGCTCACCGGCTGTCGCAGATGGTCTTGGTGAAGAAGCGCAGGTACTGGTAGATCTCCAGGCCGTCCTGTAGTCGCAGGATCTCCTCCTCATTGTATTTGAAAATGGCCAGGGCATAGCGAAACACCACCTAGCGCCCAGCAGAGTCCATTGAGGTGTGGGAAGCGAGGTAGGCACTCCCAAAGGGAGAGACCAGGGCAGGACAGGGACCCTGGATAGGCTTGGAGGCACAAGGCAGGGGTGGCCAGAGGGTGGGAGAGACTGAAGACCCCAAGCCGGGCGTAGTTGCAATCTTGGTTGACTGGGTCTCAGCCCTACCCTTGAACTTCATGATAGGCGAAGTGTTGGCCCTTAGATCTAGTGAGGTCAGTACTGTGTCTTTATTTATTTATTTATTGGTCTTGTTGGTTGTGGGGCTTGAACTCAGGGCCTGGGCGCTATCCCTGAGCTCTTTTGCTCAAGGGTAGCACTCTACCACTTCCGGATTTCTAGTGGTTAGTTGGAGATAAAGAGTTTCATGGACTTTCCTGACTGGGCTGGCTTCAAACCGTGATCCTCGTATCTCAGGCTCTTGAGTAACTAGGATTACAGGTGTGAGCCACCAGTGCCTGGCTAGAACTGCGTCTTTACGTGGGACTTTGACAGGTGATCCTGTCCGGGGTATCCAGACAGGGACAGGGCAGGGCCTGGCCAAGCCCCAAGCTCCAGCTCCCACCCAGAACCCAACAGGGGTCCCCAGCTTCAGGGACATTCTCGGAAGACTCTACTTCCCTTCATATGAACTTCTGCTTATAAAACTACCCCAATAGGGGTACCCAGCCTTCCCCATCTCAAGACCAAGAAGCAGGCTGGACCAAGGGCTGACTCAGCTGCTGCCTACCTTGGTCCCTTCATACAGGAAGGCGTCCCAGACCCGCAGGAGGATGTCACTGATGAGACTGTCTGCAAAGACCACGAGGAACCAGTTGAAGGTGATGAGGGAGAGGTCCACACGGTACTGTCCCAAGTGGGCCACCAGCCGGGGCATCTTCTCTGAGAGGAGGTCCTGGAGCACCCGCTGGTCCACCTGCAAGGTGACAGGGGCCTGGTTGCCTGTGGCCTGGGAAGCAGCTGTCTCCCTCCCTGCCCACCATCAAACCCTGTCAGTTTGCCTAGCATCCTGGAAGGACAAGATGAGTGGCACATCACCTGCTGCTCCTGACAGGCCAGCCACTGGCTACACCACTGCACTCTGGTCCCTGGCCCCCTGGCTCACCTGGATCTAGAGCTGGCTGACCCTGCTAGCAGCCATGATATTGGTCTTATGCCCACAGGCCCTAGGGATATCGGAGCATTGTCCCCAGGCTTTTATCAGTGACACCTGGGGTCATTCTGCTCTCATATCAGGCCTGACTGAGGATGCTCAGGGGAAGAGCCTAGGTAGTATTAGAGGAGAGTCTCCACATCCTGCCATGCTGGACTCAGGGAGTGTCCTCCACAGGCAACACTACCCATGACCTCTTCTGGTGGCCATGCCATGCCTCCACCCCTGCTCCACTGGACCCTGATGGTTTCATCCCACACTGGCAGGTTAACACACTGGATTAAGGTGCCAGAGTCTACTGGAGGATTTGTGTATGAGTTGATGTGCTGCCTGACCTAAGCCAAGACTTTATTTCCCAGTCTGCCTTGCAGCCAGGACCAGTCCTGAGAGACAGTTCTGGCTGTAAGAACCATGAGGGTAGGGAAACCAGCAGAGTGTGTGTGTGTGTGTGTGTGTGTGTGTGTGCATGCACATATATGCATACAGGTCTGGGGCTTGAATTCAGGGCCTGGGCACTGTTCCTAAGCTTTTTATGATCAAGGCTAGCACTCTATCACTTGAGCCAAAGTTCCAGTTCCACCTTTTGGTGGTTAACTGGAGATAGGAGTCTCACAGACTTTCTTGCCTGGGCTGGCTTCAAACCACAACCCTCAGATCTCAGCCTCCTGAGGAGCTAGGATTATAAGTCTGAATCACCAGTGCCCTGCTTAGCTCCCTCCTTTTGCCCTTCCACTTCTTTAAGCCTGAGCCAAATACACAGGGCCAAGGCAAGTGCAGCCCCGGTGATCACAGCTGCAAGCATGAGGATGAAAGCCAGGCTGGGCACTGTGGAGCAGCGGATGGCAAACATGGCTGGAAGGGGTCTGATCCCAGATGCAGTCAAGGAACAGACACTGAAACAAGCTGAAAAAAACTCATGATCGTTTAGGGCACTCAGGTTGGCTTCCCTTCCAGTGCAGTCCTCGCTTGCCTCTGAGACTCCCCGGCATGCAGAGCCCATGCGGTCCTCGCCACTGTTAGTGGGAGGGACAAGTGTGTGACAGACAATGGCAGCAGGCAGGGAAAGGAGGATGCCGAGACAGATGAGAGAGGGGCAGACTGGCAAGAACAGCAAGGCTGGAACACAGTCTGATCCTAAAGTGGACAAGCCTGGGATTCAGACATCATCGACCTGAACCACATGGCTGGCTGGAGCTCAGAACACCACTCTGCCTGACCCTGGGGCCAAAGGCGGTAGAGGGGATACAACACTGGGGGAAGCTGTGTCCCTCCATGGACAACAACTGGTGTGCGAGGCCTGTCACCTCATTTCCGCCCTCCAGCCCAGCAAGACCAGGAGTGATGCGCGGGCAATCTACTGCAGACCTTCTGGCCAGCCCACTTACTGTCTCACTGACCTACAGTCTGAAATTCGTGATTGGCCAACAGCGGGTGACAGTGGATCTACTCTTCCCTCCTTAGGAAGCCGACTGTTGACCATGAGAAATGTCAGCACGAGTCTCAAGGGCTGGGCAGATCCTTAGCTCACAGGACCTCGTCAGGCTCAGAGCGAGTTATGGGCCATGGTGTAGAAGAGAATGGGAAGCCTGGGAAATTCTGCTTTTTCTGAGATCCACGGCCTTGCATGGATGCCCTGTCCCCTCCTTCCTTCCCCGCTCACCTGGGACGCTGTTAGTGTCTTGCTGTAGTAGTCGGCAGGCAGGATGGTCTCCACGATGGCCACAAGGCACCAGAAGGCACTCTCCTCATCCTCCAGGACCAGCAGGGCGATAGCCGCCAACCTGGAGGAGGAAGAAGCCTGCAGTGACCCACGGCAGCTGCAGCCCTGCCAGGCAGCTGGTGGCAGAGGTGGCTCCCTGAAGCCCTAGGGCAGAATCTCCCATACTTGTACCAGCCAGCCCCTTCCCTAGCCAGACTGGGGTCTGGCACCTACCTCTTAGGGTAGCACTGTTTTGGGAAGGATGTCTAAGGTAATGTCTAGAGCATGGGCAATCATTTCAGAGCAGGGGGTCTGGGTCAGGTTGCCTGGGTGTCAACCATAGTCTTGCTGTTTCTTGGGTGGCACTGGACAAGGCTCTTAGCCTCTCTGAGCCCCGGCCTCCTCATAATCACCCAGGGCTATGTGAAGGTGAACGGCTAGCACCTCTGGTGCCCAGCCCAGGCTCTGGTGGGTACACCAACCTCTGAGACTCAGTCTTACCCCTTAATGGAGGAGGGCAACATTCACTGAGAGGGAACCCAGGTTTAGTGTCCTGCCCACGGTCTGGCCCACGCCAGTGCTCAACACACGTAGCTCCTTTTCTCTTGACTTCTCCTCTAGTCTGAGATGCAGGTCTCACACTCAAGGACACCTAGGGAACACCTGCCCATCCTGGTGATATGCACTATCTTGGTAATGCCTCTGGGACATCTGTAGCAACAAGATCTATGTGATGCTAACTAGCACAGCCATGCCCGGGCAGTGGTGTTCCTCAAGTGCCTTAGCATAACACACCACAGTATTTCCACAGACTAAGCCCTTAAAGAGTCTACTTCATTTGGGCATGGTGGCTCATGCCTATAACCCTCACTGTTCAGGAGGCTGAGATCTGCAGATTGTTGTTTGAAGCTAGCTGGGGCAGGAAAGTCCATGAGACTCTTATCTCTAATCAACCAGCAAAAGCTACAAGAGGGGGTATGGCTCAAGTGGTAGAGCACCAGCCTTTAGTGGCAAGCCACGTGAGAGCATGAGGCTCTGAAATTAAGTGGCTATCATGGCACCAACACCAAAACAAAACAAATGCACCTCATTGTCCAGCTAGCTAGTCTTAGGGTTCTTATTAGGCTGGCTTCATGACCTCAACCTTGTTTATAGGGTCATGAGTTTTAAAAACAGTGCTGATTCTCAAAAGGAAAGAAAAAAAGAAATAGGGGACTGGGAAGGTGGCTCAGTGGTAGAGTGCTTGCCTTGTATGGATGAGGCCCTGGGTTCAATTCCTCAGCACCACATAAACAAAAAGCTGGAAGTGATGCTCAAGTGGTAGAGTGCTAGCCTTGAGCTGAAGAGCTGAGGGACAGCGCCCAGGCCCGGAGTTCAGGCCCTACGACTGACAAAAAAAAGAAGGAAGGAAGGAAGGAAGGAAGGAAGGATGGAAGAAAGAAAGAAAGAAATGCCTTCTCTTTTTCCAGCTATCAGGAAGGAATTTCTCCCCACTCTGCCTTAATTTGAATCTGAGCTGAATGGAAGAGAACAGTCAGAGGTTTCCTGGGAAATAGGAGGCTCAGTCTTCCCATAGATGGGGAAGAGGACCTCCAGAAGGCACTAAGTTCAAGGATAGCAAATGTGTGGTACATCAGCCATCATGTTTGCCTAAGCCCAGGAGAGACATAACTAATTGATCATTGCCACATTTCACTTTAGCCATGTCCAGGAGAGACAAAACTAATTGATCATGGCCACATACACTTTGGCTATGCTTAGGGCAGAAGCAACTAATTGATCAAGGCTACATTCACTGTCTATGCCTAAGGCAGACATAATTAATTGATGGATCAGGGCCATATTCACTTTGTCTATGTCCAGGGCAGATATAACTAACTGATCAATGCCACATTCAATTAATCTATGCTCAGGGAAGACATAACTATGGCACCCATTGCTACCAGTCTGGAAGCTACCTTAGAAAATTTCCTTCAAAGAGATCTCTAGGAAGTTACTTCCTATTCCTTCCTCTGGTCAAGACATTACCCTTTATTGCACAGATGGCAAAACTGAAGCCCAGAAAGCAAAAGTGATTGGCTCAAGATCACATAGTCAGTTGATGGCAGAATGGGAACAGACCCAGAATTCCCAAAGTTCAGCCTGGTGCTGTCTTTACCCTACCCCATATTCCATCCCACCAGACCTCACCAGAGCCTCCTCTGGCTTCAGACCAAGAACCTCCACCAGCATGGGTTTAGACTTTGGCACACATTAAAAGGTCAGTTATGGCAGACTAGGCCTCTCCAGGGCTAATAAACTGTCCAGGGCTACTGTAGAACTTCAACCTCATGCATTTGGGGCCTGAGGAGGCCTGCTAAGGAGGGCATGTATGGTTGGGAGAAAGAACAGACCACCCTTAAAGAAAACCACTTACTTTTACAAAGAATTTGCTTTAAAATGTTTACTCTAAATTGGCATTAGACCACCACTTCATCACCATCTAACGAAGCTAGAATGATTGATATAATGCATGCAGTTCTAAAAATCGTCACTAGATGGCAACTCAGACAAGGCGGCTTGTGTTTAAGATCCTTCGAAAGAATACCAAGCAGCTCCTTTTAAAGTGATGGTATAAATATTTGAACAAATAACATCTGTCTGTGCTTACATATACAATTTAAGTACAGCCTAGAGGAGGATATTAAAAACCACTTCCTGGGCATCTTCTACCTCTCTTGATCTCAGCTGTCCAATCCTGGCCTGCCCTCTCCACACTGGGGAAGTGATTCCCATGAGCCACATCTACAGGATCCTTTAGCCCTAGCTCAACTCCACAACACTGCAACCTGTTTGTGGCTAATCGTCTATCCAGAGGTCACATCTGATCAGGAAGGTTTTGGGGTGGCTCAATACCTTCCTGCCACAGTTCCCACTCAGAGTGATGGTGGGCAGGAGGAAGGACAAGGTGGATTATGGGACTCTGGGCATGAGGCCAGAGTCCAAGGTCAGCAGCTGGCCAGGTCACTAGGCCTGGTGAACAGTGGGCAGGTCCTAAGGCTGTCAGATGTTCTCTCATCTCAGATGGGCAATGGGCACATGTGCACCCTTCATGGGGTTTCACGAGGACATGTCCGGTGTGCAAAGCACCTCAGTGAGGGCCACTTCCTGTCTGATCTCTGCACGGAATGTAAGAAATCAGCTCCCTTCACAGCTATTCTTAAAGAAGCTTTATAGATTCTGTCCCTTCCGGATTGCAGTTTACTCAAATAGTCACAAGAAGTGCACAGCTTTAGCTGGGCTATGAAGGAATGGGACCCCTAGACTCACCTGCTAGACATGTAGAGTAACATGGCATTCTAATGACTTCCAAGGAGGAGCACTATTGTTGGAGTCCAGCTCTGAAGTCCCAGCAATTATACAAATACTTGTTCAGACTCAGCCAAGTTTAGGCTAGATAAATAAAAGTATACAGAATATCTACCCTTGGGAATCATTCAAATTTGATGAGGACACTGAATGCTGATTCTGTGTTAAATAAATATCACGCAACACGTACTCTGATTTAAAAACAGCAGAATGGCTTAGGTAGATTTTGCTGAGTACTTAAGTGAGTATATAAGTGAACTTGAACTTGGGTTGGTAGCTCAGCAGCAGAGCCTAGCAAGCACAAAGCCCTAAGTTCAATCCCCAGTACAAGAAAAAGAAGAAAGAAACAGAGTCAAAACTTACTTTGGCACCAGGCACTGGTGGCTCACATCTATAATCCTAGCTACTTAGGAGGCTGAAATCTGAGAATTGTGATTCAAAGCCAGCCCAGGCAGGACTCTTAACTCCACTAAACTACCCAAAAATCCACAAGTGGAGCTGTGGTAGAGCCCTAGACCTGAGCACAAAGAAGCTCAAGAACAGCACTGAGGCCCTGAGTTTAAGCCCCAGGACCACCACCACTACAACAACAAAAAACTTGTTTTGGGAGATACTCCAGACTGCAATTTCTAGACCATCGCTGGAGTGTCCACCAGGCTCCATCCTCAGCCTCCCATCTGTCTGTCTTGCCCTCTGGCTACTGGACCAAATCGGAAAGTAACACAGGCTGGGTGCTGCAGAACTGCAGACCTGGACATGGGGTGTGAGGGGTGGAGGTAAGGAAGGCCTATAACTCCAGGGACAAAGTCTCCACTCTGCTGGTTGATAGACTATACGTGCCCAAAGAATGAGGGGAAAGAGACAGATGTGTAGCGCAAAGAGAGGCTGGGCTGTGGGTCCCTTCCAATGGTTCTGAGAGTGACCCTGGCTCCCAAGAGCAAAGCCAATCAGCCTTCAGGTGGAGGGTGCTGAGTTCTGATGCTGTGGGGAACATGTCTTCTCACCTGCCTGGTTCTACCAGGCTGGGGAAGAACTTCGGGGCTCATCAGTCTGGCAGGCCCCAGAGCCAGAGAGACGCTGGAAGGCAAAGGCCGTGCCCTCCCCGCTTGCAGCGGCTCACCTGTTCAGGCCCTGGCAGTACCCGATGGCAGGGTTCTGCCAGGAGAAGGCCAGCAGCACCCGGCGGAGCTGGCTGGGGAAGCTGGAGGTAGGGCAGGTGAAGTGTTTGTTGTTGGGGAAGGTCCGGTTCAGGTCGAGCTCGATCTGGCGGGCGGCGGGGTGCTCGCAGGCCTGGCCCCGGCCCAGCAGCTCCTGGTAGTAGCCAGGAGTGTGTAGGTGCTGCACGTGGCGATGGACCAGCCACTTCCAGACACGCGGCCGGTGCTCGCGGGGCACGCCGGCCCGCAGCATCTGCTTGAGCTCTGCCGAGGGCGCCAGCTCATCGATGGCAGACCAGCGCTCCCGCAGGGGCCGCTCCTTGGCCTCAAGGCCCAGCAGGTGATGGGAGCGCACCTCCAGCGCCTGGATCTTGGCCAGCAGCTTCAGGTCTTCCACCTCATAGTCAGGCACTGTCAGAAAGCCGTATTCATCATACTCACTGCCGGGGGAAGGTCGTATGAGTGAGCTATAACATGCAGATACTGGGTCTAGAGGAGGGGCACCGGCAGGGGCACCAGGGCCAGCTTCCACCCTGGCTCAGCCGAGGGCTAGCCATGGACCTCTCAGCAGATCACTCCACGTCCCAGCCTCAGTTTGCTTATCTCTATGATGGGTAGAGAAAACCCCTCTGACTCCTGAAGACCCAGTGAAATGCTCTTGTACCAGCGCTCCCCGAGGTGCATGTGCCCTGGACCAGCAGGGGAGCTTCTGCTACTCCACAAAACTTCAGACCAAGGGGCCTGCAATGCTTACACGGAGCCCCACTTAGCACACCAGCAAGCTCGTGGATAGATGGGGACAGGCCAAGACCACAAACTAGCGAGGTGGGAGAGCCTGGGTCCTGTCCAGAGGGCCTTGCATTTAGGCAACATTTGTCTGCCCCCACCACATGCCCTGCACACGCTCTCTGTTCAGCTGAACGATCCTGCAAAGTGGGGATCGATCTCAGCCACATCCTACAGAGGCTCAAGGAGACGTGAGCTGCTCAAGGTCACACAGCAAAGACAGCCAGGTGAGGGGCCACAGTGAGGCACCAGTCAGTGGGCCACCCCTGCTTCCTGTGTAGTTAACTGGCAGCTGCTGTGCCCAGCAAGGGGCAAAGGTTTGGCCAGCAGGGAACAGGCAAGGGCGAGGAGGGAGGGAAAGCGCCCTGTTGGCCTGGCCACGCATGCTCTGTGGCTCGGCCCGGGCTCCCTCCTCATGGCACCGCGCAGCACGCGCCTGGAGCCAGAGGCAGTCATGGCCGTGCAGGGCTGACACACAGAGGGTGGGACCCCAGGCTCACCTGACGGGGTTCAGCCCCATGGGGTCAGCTGAGCCCTCGGTGGCCTCCCACTGCAGCGCCTCCTGGACGAGCTGCCGCAGCAGGTCGGAAAATGCGTGCGCCTCTGTCCCCGCAGCCGCCTCTTGTAGCCTCCGCAGCCCGGCCAGATGCTTGCTCTCCACCTGGCAGTTCCTGGCTTGGAGGTAGGCACACTGCCGGGGGGGGGGGGGCGGGGAGAGGGGAGGCTGCTCAGGCTGTCCAGAGTTTTGAACACCTTTGAGTCCTTCCAGCTCCCCTCTCCTGGTCCTGCATAAGGGCGAGGAGGAAGGAGGGCCCCCAGTCCAGTGGTTTACAACTGTGGCAAGCCAAGGAGTGGGCAGGGCCAGGGATAAAGCTTCTTTCAGAAAGGAAGGGAGTCTGGGGTATCACCTATAGTCCTGTCCTGGCTTTGTTACTCCAACTGTGTGGCCTGTGGCAGGTTCCTCAACTTTTCTGTCTTAAGGATTCCCATTTCTAAGGTAGGTTTCATACAGACTCTCCAGACACGCTACTGAGGACCAGCTATCTGCTGTATGTGAAGGCCTGTCCACCAGTGGGCACAGGGCCAGTTCTCACTAGCAGGACACGGCCCTGGGCAATGGCCACTTTGTCTTCCCACATACACCTGGGGCATTGGTTCCCCCACCCCCATGACTGCTTGCTTGCTTCTATTTACATAGGCTTGATGGAGCTGGGCCCAGCAGGCAACCTGTGCCTCTGGCTTTCTGTCTGAGATGGGGACAGAGCCCCACAGCACTGTGGTGGCTGCTGGGCCCTCAGCTCCTACCTCCCTGGTCCTGGGTGGGAGCTTCAGGACCGAGGCTGCCATCAGCCGCAGCCTTGCCAGCACTGCAGTGGCCTGCCTCTCTTCCTGGTGCTCCCTGAATCCTGTCACTGCTTTCCTTCCCAGAGACACTGGTGACAGACTCCAAATTTCCTCCCCTTCCCCCCCAGCCAGGCTCTTCCTTATGCCCATCTCTGCCAGCAGCCACCGTTGTCTGCTCAGCATGTCAGGCTGCCCTGGGCCCTGCACACAGATTTCCACACCCCTCCATTACCCTTGTACCTCTCCCCATCAGGCCTAGCTCTTGGTTCCTTGGATCAAGCACACAATCCCATCTTGGGGCCCAGTCCATGAAGCTTCTGCTCTATGCTTCTACTACAAGGCCTTTCACCACCCATGCTAACCTGGATGCCTCCTTCAGGAAGGTTTCCTTGCCTTTCCTTCCTATTTCTAGGTCCCCAAGTATCCTGAGTCCAGTGCATCTTCATTGGCTTCAGCTCCAGCCCTGAGGATGGAGGAGCCAAGCTTACTCAACTAGGCATTCCTCCCTTATAGCTGCCAGTAAACCCTGGGGACAGGGGATGCTGTCAGCTAGCCCCCAGGGGCTGAAGAAGCCCTAGATGGGGCTGGCCACAAGGCAGAGGCAAGAGGAGAGGGAGCATCATGCTGCTGGCTGTGGGCAGCGCCTGTACCTTCATCAGTAGGGCCTTCTCCTTCTCAGCCACCTTCCTCCAAATCTTGGAGACCTGGTGGATCTCAGAGTTGAGGAAGCGGTTCTGGGTCTTGTAGGCTTCCATGTCATCCTGAAGGAGAGAGTGAGGCATGTCAGCAACTGCCCCCTCCCCTCCCCTGCCAAATCCTCCTGGCCCTGAGCACTCAGGTATACCCTTTAATGAGCTGTCAAAACTTCCTTGAGAAATTTTCCCAATAATGACAAAAAGTTCACCCATGGCCTCCTCTATTCTGGCTCCTAGCATGCTGGGTTGGAGACTTCAAGTGTAGGAATTCAAGTCCTGGCTCTGACATTCTGGCTTGGAGGTCTCAGGCAGGCTCCTGACCCACCCTGGCCCTCTATTTCCTGATCTGTAAGAGTGGGAACACCAACTACCTCTAACTCTACTAGGCAGCTGGGAAACTAAGTGGGGTAGCAGGTATAATACCTAGCACAGAGGCAAACACAGGTGATCAAGTAATGTTGTTTTGACAATACATTGTATCAGATATTTGCAAAACACTGGAAACAAAAAAATTTTAAATTAATCACTGTCTTGAAATATGATTCTATTTTGTTAAAATACCCCAATTACAACCCCCTACCAGCTCTTTCTGTGTGTGTGTGTGTCCTGGGATCAAACCCAAGGCCTGCTACATGTAAGAGGCACATGTCTTACATTTTCTCACTATATTGCCCAGACTTAAATTAGTGATTCTCCTGCTTCAGACTCCCCAGTTGCTGGGAATGCAGGGGTATATACTGCTAGTACTGAGGCTTGAACTCAGGGTCTTGTGCTGTTGCTTGGCTTTTTTTTTTTTTTCTCAAGGATAGACACTGTACCACTTAAGCCACAACTCCACTTTCAGGTTTTTTTTTTTTTCTGATTAACTGGAGATAAGGGTCTCTTGGATTTGCTTGCCCCAGCTAGCATTGAACCACAATCCTCAGATCTCCTATCTGAGTAGCTAGGATAATAGTTGTGTGCCACAATCATTTTTGATGACCAATGACTATTTTACGGGGTGAATTTACCATAGCTCATTATCTTTCCTATATTGTCTTAAAAATCTGAGCCCTGGGTGTTTTCAGTTTGTTTTGATTATGTGTTCAAAATCAGAGAGGTTGGGAGCCCAGAGTTTCCCCTTTGTGCTATCCACACAGGGAGTGAAACCCAACTCTGGGGCAAATGATTGAACTATGACCCAGGAAAATTCATGAAAGAAGCCGAGACATAGTCATGGCTCTTGATCTTATTCTGCTGGTAAGGATAGTTCAGAAGCCATTCAAACCATAGCACACACTTGAAGTCATCCCTAACAATTCCAGGGTATGTCCAGCTGAAACACAAGTCTCCTTTTCTGTTCAGGAAAGTGTTCTGGGCTGTGCGTGCAGGAAGTGCTACTTGCAGGGCTGACCTCTGACAGGCCTGAGTGGCTTGGACATGGACAACATCACTTGTAGCCTGTGGCACTTTATCATTAGAGATAATGTGGTGTGCGTGGCCCCTAGGTTTCCTGGCCCTATGTGGGCTGGCCTTTACTCTGGCCAAGATGGCCTCCCAGGTCTTTCCCACTCAGATGCTCCCAGTTATACTCAGAGCTGCTGCCCTCTGTCTCAGGACTGGAGATGAATGCACCAGGCTGACTTCATCAAGAGGCCACATCTTATCACTGGGTCCCAGTGATATCCCCCAGCTCCTAGGCTGAAAGACTGTGTGCTACTGTGCTTCTGGCCTGCCACCCTCCCAGCTGGAATCCACCAGGACATTCAAACTCCAGAAAGTCTCTACCATGTCGCGGCTGATGCACCCAGGCCCATGTGATTGGCAGGCTGCACCATAAAGGAACAAGACTGCAAAGATGCTGATGTTGCCTGTGTGCCAGCAAAGGCCTGATAGCTAGATGCACAGACGGGGACCATGATGCCTGGATGTAACATTACTTAACATCTGGGAACCAGGGATGGAAACTGAAGTTCTCTGATGAAGGAGCGTCTGTACTATAGATCCTGAAGATCACATGACCATGGCAGAGCAGAACATGCCTGGGGAGAGATGGATCACTGCAAGTCCATAGCCAAAATTACTTTTCAGCTATCTTAGACCCTTTCATAGTCATAGTCAATCACCTTGACTTTTTTTTTCCTCTCTCATACCAGGACTTGAACTTGCTTAGCTGGCATTCTATCATTTAAGCTATGCCTTCAGTCTGGCATTTTGCTGTTAATTGGAAATGGAGTCTTGCAGACTTTTCTGCCTGATCTGGCTTGGAACCACGATCCTCCAGGTCAGCCTTTTGAGTAGCAAGGATTACAGATGGGAGCTACTTGTGCCTGGCATGCCTTAACTTTTTTTTTTTTTTTTGTCGGTCGTGGGGCTTGAACTCTGGGCCTGGGCGCTGTCCCTCAGCTCTTCAGCTCAAGGCGAGCGCTCTACCACTTGAGCTACAGCGCCACTTCCGGTTTTCTGGCTTTTTTTTTTTTTTCTTTTTGCTTATGTGGTGCTGAGGAATCGAACCCAGGGCGGTTTTCTGGTGGTTTATTGGAGATAGGAGTCTCACGGTCTCTCCTGCCCGGGCTGGCTTTGAACCGCGATCCTCAGATCTCAGCCTCCTGAGTAGCTAGGATTACAGGCGTGAGCCACCAGCGCCCGGCCTTAACTTTTTTTTTAAATCTGACCTAATGTTGACTGATAAATAAACTTATCTGAATGTGTCATAAAGCAGCCCCCCTGCCAGATGCCCCTACCAAGGCCATGGGTGAAGGTACTGACTGATAACTTTGTTTTATGGCCAGCAATGTTCATGTGACTGCTTGGACCATGTCATCCAGGGTAACTGAAATCCATGTTCTAGGACTGGTGCCACTCACTTTTGGCACAGGGTAAATTATTTTCTTATTTCTTTTAAAACAGAGTTGTTGCCGGGTGCCGGTGGCTCATGCCTGTAATCCTAGCTATTCAGGAGGGCTGAGATGTGAGGATTGCAGTTCCAAGCCAGCTTGGGCAGGAAAGTCTGTGAGACTCTTATCTCCAATAAACCACTCAGAAAATTGGAAGTGGTGCTGTGGCTCGAGTAGTAGAGGGCTAGCTTTGAGCTGAAGAGCTGAGGGACAGCGCCCAGGCCCAGAGTTCAGGCCCCACGACCAACCAAAAAATAAAAAAAGAAGAGTTGTTTAGGTCAATAGGGACAATAACAGTTACCAGCTCAAGAGATGGCTGGGAGCCCAATTAGTTAATGTGGGCAAAGGCAGCCAAAGGCAAGAGCAAAGCAGTTGCTACCATTACTTGCCTGCCCGCCTCCACTCCCGCCTGCCACTCCCTCTTGCCACTAGCCTGCGGTACTTTCCCTCTGTGGCTCTTCTTCCCAAACATCTGGGAGAAGGCAAGGGAGGAAGGGAAGGAGGAGGGGAGGGAGGGAGGAAATGGGAGGAAGGAAGGAAGGAAGGAAGGAAGGAAGAAAGGAAGGAAGGAAGGAAGGAAGGAAGGAAGGAAGGAA